AGTTATAGCTAATCTTTATATAGATCATGACCTTTCTAGTCTTCACCATCTGCTTTTCTCTGTTGCTCAACCACCTTGAGGGCACAACATTCTCCTTAGGCTTAACGTTTTCAGTTGTACACTGCAGGTCTTATACATACACACTCCTCCTGATTATAGCCTGTTTCTTTGAAATCCTTTTTCGTGACTTGACCCAATTTCCATGACTTGTGACATTCCCAAGGTCCCTGTATAGTTTAAGCAAGCAGAATTTTGTTGCACGCTTTATCCTTTCTCTGAAGCAGGAGATTTCTCTAAGATTCCTAACCCTCCACACTTTCTTCCACTAGGTCTTTCCTGGTTTTCTACCGAATGTACACTGCCACATTCTTGAAATTCTATTATAACTCTATTCAATTATCAGGAGATGATAACTGAATGGCAAAGAAGAATCTGTTCACAAATATGGAGCTGAAGAGAGATGAAAGGTCTAAATTCATAGTTAACAAAGCAGAAATAGAAGCCTGACAGAAATAGCTATGAAATAAGCCAGGATTTATTTAGATGTACCTCTGCGAGAAGCTGGGATTTAATGTGGTGTTCCAAGAGCCATTGCCCTGTTTCCTGTGCTCTTCTCCCCTTCCCCCCTCTCCCCTAATACTTTGTTGCAAAAGAAAACTTCAGACTCCACAGTAGGCTAAAGGGCAGTCTTACTGGGGCCTGAATCAGTGTGGAAGGGAGCGAGGGGAGGGGAGGAAGCAGGAGATAGTATAATAGGTAAGGAGAGAGGGAGGGGCAGGAGGGCAATCTTCTCAGGAACATCTATGTTAAATCAGATCTAGAGAAGGGACTGAAGGGAGGGTAAACTGTGTAACTTCTTTATCCCTTAGAATTTAGGGCTGCTTTCCTAGTCCTCTAATTTCTTTAACCACCATGCACTTCTGCACTTGATGGAGGGCTCCATCAGTGATGAAAGAAAAAGGTCAGTACAGGGTCAGGCGGGAATACTTCCAACACAGTTAAAGCTCCTCAGGCCACAAACACTATCTCCTTCAACAGTGGACCCCTTCTCTCCTTCTTGATGCAGTTTTTAATGCTTCACACATACCCTTATTCTGCCACTGATGAACTGTGCTGATGCCCTTGTTCTCGGTATCAACTCACTCATACTGCCTTCTTTCCCCAACTTACTAAAAGGACTCTCCATTGACTCCCCTAACTACTGCCCCCTCCTACATCACTAATCAACCGATCCAGTCAACAATACAACTAATCCTGTCGCTCATTGACTCCCCAGCCTCAAACAGTCCTTCAAACCCTCAGATGAGTCACCACACTTGGTAACAAATTTATGTGGAACCCTCAATGCTCCCCCGCACAGACTGTCTGAGAGCCACTCCTTCCCAACCTGCCTTCCCTCCAGGCTCACCTTCTCTCTCCTCTCTGCAACAACCCCTTCCTCCAGCCGAGCCTCCGGTCTGACTCCACTCCCACGCCTCCTCACACAGACCTGCCCGCCCTGACCCTCTCCCTGGCGGACTCCCCTGGCTCAGCAGGACCCCCTCTTCCTCACGCAGACCTTCACACGCCCATCTCTTCTCTCGCTGACTCCCTCCTCTGCGCTCTCCTCACTCAGCTCCGGGTCACGAAAACCACCTCCCATCCCAGCTCCTCTAGCCTTTTGCCCGCCCCCGCCTTCCCCGCCTCACTCTCCCTTCGCTGACATTGAGGCCTCTCCGCTGGGTCTCTTTCTAGAGCTCCCCCAGCCGCTCCTAACCAGGGCCCTCGGCACCGAAGGAGCCCACTCTACCCAGTCCACCCCCTCAGATACCGCCCCCAGCCCCCAGCCACTCCCCCACCGCCCCCGGCCCTCACTCACCCGCCTCCCTGCGCTCGCGCACCCGAACCTGCCGGCAGCGACACCTGACAGCGGTCCAATCAAAGCACGACTTCTCTTCGGCGCCACCAATCAGCGGAGGGCGCGCACCGGCAGCAGAGTCAGGCTGCGTTGGCCGGCGCTTCTGCGCGGAGGATGGTGGCCTCTAGTGGTTCTGGGGAGGGAGTGCAACCTGTTGTTCTTTTTCTGATTTCTAACTGCGTCGCCACAGTCCAGATGCTTGGTCTAGACAGAGAATTTCCAATGAGACGAAGTGGGGGGGAAGCGAGATGCAGAGGAAGAGGCAGAGTCTGTGCCATTGCACCTCCATGAGGACAAAACCAAGTCTTCTGTTCGTTTTGTAAAATAAAACGGGATATGATAGACGTAGAGATCCAATAAATGTACGTTGCAAATGTTAATGGACTAGAGGAGTGAAAGGGAGGCTAGAGACAAAAACAGAGACAGAAACAAATCAGAAAGTTAAGGGAAGGAAAAGAGACTTACTTATGGAGGAGACACGACGATGGATGGACTTGGAAGGCTGAACAAGTGGATTCCTATCTCCACATTCTGCTTGCCTTTAATAGCTGTGCAGCCTTGGACAAGTCATTGAACTTCCCTCAGCCCCTCTTTTCTCACCTGTGAGAGAGTGGGACTAGAAAACCCTAACTCATAGGGTACTGATTATATGAAAGCATTTTGTGTATGTTTGTATTGTTATTATCTTTGCATCTTCACTCAGGTTTCCCTGGTCAAGACTATTTATTCCAAGTTCTGTTACCCAATGCAAGTTTGTGTGCCCAAAGCACAGTGAGGCCAAACAAACAGAAAGGCCAGAGTTTGGAGCAGAGAAAGGTTTATTGCAGGGTCAAGCAAGGAGAACAGGTGGCTCATTCTCAAAAACCCCATTAACTCCCTGATGGTTTTGGGGAAAAAGTTTTTATAGGCAAAATTTGGGGTGAGGGCGGCAAGTGTGTGACTTTCTTCTGATTGGTTAGTGGTGAGGTAACAGGGCGGTGCTCCAGAAATCTTTATTCAGCCTGAAGTTACCATCTTCCATGTGGGAGGTGGGGTTAGTTCCTGCAGAAGAACTCAAGGATATTGTTATGAGTATTCCTCTGGGAGGAACCAAGATCCTGCTTTAATTGCTGCACTATAGTTTTCTGATTGTCCCTCCTGTGTTTCTGTATCCCTTCCCTTCCCTGATTAGCAACTGTTTGAATCTGCCCTTGAAACTCTGGAAAGGTCAAGGAGGTTGAATGAAGCCTATTTCCTACAAACAAGAAACAGGGGACACAGAAGGGATTTGCACCTGGGAGGGACCCACAGCGTCCTGCTCCATTTTGTCCCTAGTGTAATCAGATAGGTTAGGGAGTCACCGGAGAAAGAGAACCAGGAATGGCTTTCTTGATATAAGAGAACCCATTTTGGCCTAAGCCATTTTGTGATATAAGCCTGGCCACAATGCTTGCCTTTGAACAGGTCTCAGTAATTAATGATCTTAAGGGAGGGAATGCAGAAACAAGGGAGGAGCAGTCAAGAAACAACTGTGCAGTCTTGGGGCAGGGCCCTGATTTCTTAAAGGATATACATAATAATTCATCTTTGAGCCCCATAGGGTCCTGCTCAGTTTCACCCCTTCATGAATATGCATGTATCCTTAGCTGAAAACTTCCCAGATTTTGCTGTTCGGGGAGATGCTGCTTTGGGAGAGATCCCTGGTGTTCTCCTTACTTGTAGCAAGTAATAATAAATCCTTCCTTCTCCTGATCTTTGGCTTGGTTGGGTTTATTGGCTCGACACCCACCAAAAGGCGAACCCAGTTTTCAGGTAACACAACTGCAGAACTCCATCTATTCTCTGATTATTGCTCTCTTACCAGGAGAAGAAGGAACTGATGGGCCTAGAAGAGAGGTAATTGGCTACTAAGGCTACCCACAAATGAGGAAGAAAGGAAAAGGAGCACTAGGGAAGCCTGAGAGGAATGAATGAAATGAGAGTAAACGGATGGAGTGGGGTCTCATCAGTGAGGCCAGCAGACAACTTGAAGGGAATTTCTTTTTCTCAGATACTCTCCCTTAAGATTAACAAGTATCTTGCTGTCTTGTGGGTACACCAAGGTAATGATACTGAGCAGGGCCCTGTGGGGCTCCTGGGCACAAAGACTTTCTGTGTCCCCCATGTCTTTGGTTACAGGAAATAGCCTTCATTCAGCCTCCATGACCTTTCCCTACTTACAATGGGCAGGTTCAAGCAGTTGTTAATCAGGGAAGTGAGAGGATGCAAGACAAGGGAGAAACAGTCAAGAGAAACAGTAGTGCAGCCTTGGGGTAAGGTCCTGGTTCCCCAACAACGGACACACACAGAGATATCTTTGAGCTGTCTTGCAGATACTGAAACCCCCTCCAGGTGGGTATGCTGCCCACAGACCCCAGACCAGCTGGAACCTGAAGGTTGATGTTGCTGACTCCCACTTACCTCACCACCAACCCATCAGAAGAATACAAGCCCAGTCACTGCCTTGATCCTTATCACCTACCCCCCCCCCACCATGAGCCCTGACTAGAAGGCCACTCCCTATGCCACAGGGAGGGGGGCACAGTTCTTGAGGTGCTAGCCTGCTGTGTTCCCTCCAAGAATAAAGCTACTATTTCTTTCTCCTCCAAAACTCTGTCTCTGTATCTCATTTCGGCATCCGTGTACAGAGAGCCAATATTTTGTCATCAATACCTGAAAGAACGGGCTAATGCCACTATGCCTACCCCATCTTAACTGACCCTCCATACTGAAGCCCACATCTCTATTTCAGCTCCAAGCATTCATTCTCCTTCTGCCAGGACAAAGGTCAAGTCATACCCAAGTCACACTTGAAGATATGGGAACAAAGCCCTCTCAAATATGAATATGCACCTTGTGAGGAGGGAGGAGGAGAAGGCACCAGGCGGAAGGCAGAGATTCCTTGGTGACCCTGTGCCCTTGGACACCCCTCCTTACAGTCTGGATTAAACAGCAATAGGGAGCCGAGAGAGGAAACACATGTGGTGGCTGGGGACCCGTGCCTGCCTGTTTCCGTCCTACACCTCGTCATCTTGCCACACCCTTCACGTCACCTTACACTCCCCTTCAGTTCAGGAACTGGGAGCTACAGAGAGCAGGGAGAAGGGGGAGGAGGACAAGAAAGCATAATAATTCCTTGCCCAACTCCAGCCCCACGCCCAGCACAAAAACAGGTAGGCAAGCCTGCCGAGAACACTCAGAGGGAGTCCTGTGAGCAGCAAACTGGTCGGAGCCTGGAAAAGACTCTGAGAAGTAAAAGATCAAAGGTGAAGTAGGAGCTGGGGAGGAGGGCAGAGGAGGAGGAAAAGTGGGGGATCATGAGAAGCGGAGGAAGGACAGGGCAGGGCTTCAGACTTGGGGGCAGGGCGGGGGTGGGCAACACAGCACAGATGGGGTAAGAGTTCGTGTTTCCCTGATTTCTCTCCGGAATCCTTCCACAACCTTAAAAGGAGAGCACAGGTGTGACAGGGAGGAGCTTTGGTCCTCTTCCTGGTTCTAAGGAAAAGGTGACCTTGAGGCAGCTGGTGTCTTTCTCAGTGTCTGCCTGTGTGCTTTCTCTTTGTCTTCCTCTGGTATCTGTGTTTATTCCACGGTTCCCCGAGGCCGCCTCCCCTGGGAAGATGGAGAGGTTGCTGAGGCAGGCCGAAAAAAACGAGAAGAGGTTGGGTAGTGTTACGCTTTCACACCCACAGGGCGACGAAACGGGTTTCCTATTAAACCGGGAGGCTTAGGGGAAGGGTGTTCGGGTCTCGCCTGTCCCCTTGGGTGCTGTCCTCTACTTGGTGCTGAAATCTGGGCGACCTCATCTCAGGTGGGCCCGTTCGCCGGCCTAAGGCTGCGAATCTCCAGTCCCCCTAATCTACCTGGTGGGTGGTGCCTGCCCTCTGCCCCCGCACACCTAGGGCCGTGGCAGGCGGGAAGGCGGGGCCTGCATGAGCCCCACCCCTGGAGACTGCAGCTCTGCTTCCCTCTCCAGCGCCCTACCGCCGCTAGCTCATTGCGCCTCTCCTGCAGCCTGGTGGGCACCGGCTTCCACTCCCGCTCCAGCCTCCCTCCATTTCGGCTCCAGCCTCGCACCCACCTCCGGCTCTCAGTCAGCCTGTTTGCATCCTCCCTCCAGGTTCCTGCCCTGAGCCAGCTCCTACTCCGGGATTCCGTAACCAGAGCCTCAAGCTATGGCTGGTCCCTTCTCTCGTCTCCTGTCTGCCCGCCCGGGGCTCAGACTCCTGGCTTTGGCTGGAGCTGGGTCTCTAGCCGCTGGGTTTCTTCTCCGCTCGGAACCTGTTCGAGCCGCCGGCGAACGACGGAGGCTGTATCCCCCGAGGTATCAGTGTCTCAGGCGCCCGGGTGAGGGTGAGGGTGGGGGTGGGGGACGGGTAGGTGCCGACAGGGATGGAGATGGGGACCTGGGCAATAGAGAAGGGCTATAGTCACGAAGGCTTTGGAGTAGAGGCGCTGGACAGTCTGGAAACCTCAGTGGGGTGGGGATGGAGGCCAAAACCATAAGGTGAAAGCATTCCTGAGGACTTGGAGCCCGCAGTTCCCACCCGCAAGGCCAGCTCTGGCCCTGTGAATTCCGGCTGCACCTACTCTGCCCAAATTCCTAACTGAGAGACCAGGAACTATCCTTTCCGCTCTCCTTCATCTCCTTTTCCTGCTGTTCTCTCCCGTTTCCTGAATTCCCCTCCTTAGTCTTTCCCCTCCCCCCATCCCTAATGTTGTGTCCATGGGAGGAAAGAACTGAGCAGATGTGGGAGAATTGAGCCTCCAGCCAGAGGAAGCTAGAACTCTTGGGAAAGAATAGATCCTGAAAGTCCCTGATGAGATTACCAAGGTTTAGCCTCCCTCTAACCTCCCCTCCTCCCAAGGAACAAAGCCAGACATGCTCCCAGCTGAGTGCACTGGGTCTAGGCCCCCTGTGCCCTCCCTCCATGGTTACTGGTACCCCCTCCCTAGTGCTGAGTACCCAGACCTCCGAAAGCACAACAACTGCATGGCCAGTCACCTGACCCCAGCAGTCTATGCCCGGCTCTGCGACAAGACCACACCCACTGGTTGGACGCTAGATCAATGTATCCAGACTGGCGTGGACAACCCTGGCCACCCCTTCATCAAGACTGTGGGCATGGTAGCTGGTGATGAGGAGACCTATGAGGTAGGGGGCCCCCAGAGTTCCCCTGGTAACCCAATTTATCTCCCCAGTAATCCCAGCTCCTTTCCCCTAAAGACCTCACTTTCCCTTAAGACTGGACCATCCATACTCATGTTTTCTCACCCAGTGAAATCAATCCACAACTAAACCTTGGGAAGGGATTCCCTCTCCTTAACCACCCGCTTCCTCTGAACTGCCCTTCAGGTATTTGCTGAGCTGTTTGACCCTGTGATCCAAGAGCGACACAATGGATATAACCCCCAGACAATGAAACATACCACTGACCTGGATGCCAGCAAGGTAGGTCGAATATTCCACTTCTGACTTGCATTGCCTTATGTACAACATTCTGTTTTTTCAGTCCCTTCAACCATAATTATACCCTGACTCATAGTCATTATACTGCTGAGCTTTTAGTCTGTGTGGGGAAAGAATTGTATGTTCAGGAGCAGCCTCTGTGGAGAGGAGAGGGTGAATGAGAATGGCCACCCCCCAAGGTGGGCAGGTTTGGGGGAAGGTTTACAATGCCCTTTCAGTTGGAGTGCTTGCCCAATGGGCTTCTTCCAGTGCAGGCAATGAGGACCCCTCTAGTCCTTAAGGTCTCTCCTTCCCAAAGGCCCTCAGCTCCCATCCACTGTGTTTCTGTGACTTACATTAATTTCTCTGATTCCCCAGATCCGTTCTGGCTACTTCGATGAGAGGTATGTATTGTCCACAAGAGTCAGAACTGGCCGAAGTATCCGGGGTCTCAGCCTGCCTCCAGCCTGCACCCGGGCAGAGCGACGAGAGGTGGAGCGTGTTGTGGTGGAGGCACTGAATGGCCTGAAGGGTGACCTGGCTGGACGCTACTATCGGCTCAGTGAGATGACAGAGGCTGAGCAGCAGCAGCTAATTGATGTGAGGGGCTTTGAGAGCAAGCTGGGTGGGAGGGGCAGATGGAAAGAAGAGTCAGGGGAGGCTGGGCCAGATGAGGTAGATGGGCTCTGAGAAGCCCAGGGGCTACTGTGAGGATTCTTAACCCAAGTCCCTTTACTCTCCCCAGGACCACTTCCTGTTTGATAAGCCTGTGTCCCCATTATTGACCGCAGCAGGAATGGCGCGAGACTGGCCAGATGCTCGTGGAATCTGGTATGAGGCTTAGCTTACCCGCTGCCCCTGTAAGTGCCCTTTTTTTTCTATCTCCCCCAATTCTTGCCCTGCCTCTTAATCCCTGTCCCTCCCTCTCTCCTGCCTTCAGGCACAACAATGAGAAGAGCTTCTTGATCTGGGTGAATGAGGAGGATCATACACGGGTCATCTCCATGGAGAAGGGTGGCAACATGAAGAAAGTGTTTGAAAGATTCTGCCGAGGCCTCAAAGAGGTCGGAGAAGAATGTATAAGGGAACTAGGCGGGAGGACTTGAGGAAAAAACAAATTTAAATAGGTAGATTGGGGCTTCCCTGGTGGCGCAGTGGTTGAGAGTCCACCTGCCGATGCAGGGGACACGGGTTCGTGCCCTGGTACGGGAGGATCCCACGTGCCACGGAGCGGCTGGGCCCGTGAGCCATGGCCGCTGAGCCTGCGCGTCCGGAGCCTGTGCTCCGCAGCAGGAGAGGCCACAACAGTGAGAGACCCGCGTACCGCAAAAAAAAAAAAAAAAGGTAGATTGACCATATAATTTATCAACCAACCCAGGATACTTTTGATGGTGAAAAGGATCACCACCAATCACTCTAGGACAAGAGGTATAAATCAGAACTGTCCAGGGAAAACCAGGATATGTGGTCACCCTAAGAATAGGAAGAGAGAAAGAATGTCAGGAATCTAAGTAAATAAAGCAGTTGCCAAATAATGCAAAGAAGGAGTAAATGAGATGGTGGCTCAGTGCCTGGGGGTTGTGGTGCGGGATGGTGGGATGTGCAGATAAAGAAAAGGTTTAAGCCTGGATGGATGTAAGGAGTGAGAGATTGGTATGTTCATGATTCTAATGTAACCACCCAGTTGGGAGCCAAGGTAGGCCTTAACTCTGGATTCTGTCATTCTTGCTAAAGTAGCATGTCTAGATTTTAAGCTGAGAGTAGGAGGGAAACCAGGGAAGGTGGAGAATGGAATGGCCTAAGTTCCAAAATGCGTTGCTCTGCATGAGGAGTTGAACTGAATCCTCAGTCCTATATGGATTAGGTCTCCATATTCAATTCCAGATTACAAATCCCCATAAACCCAATCCTTATTGTATTTTCTCATGTATACAGTTCTATTTTGAACTTGTAAAGGGAGAGAGCTCCTCTTTCGTTTAGATCTTGGCTGGGAAGTTTCTATTATTTTTAGCAAGTAATAGGTAACATTAAATTATATGCCTTAGTATTCTCATCTGTAAAATTGGGAGAGTAAGACTTCCTACATTTTAAGTTGTGGGGTTTAAGTGAGATAATGCATGTAAAGTGCGTGGCCCATAATAAGTGTTCCCTAAGTGTTAACTGCTCTTACTATTCTAGATGGAAGAATTTCCCCTTGTTCATCATATACAATATCCCCCTACGCCATGGTTCTTTCTGAACTAGGAACAGCATCCCCTTACTCAGGTTAGGTAGTGGTCTTCATGTCCATCAACTCCGGCAGATCTCCAGTCTCTTCAACTCTAATAGTCATCTGCATGATTAGGATGCTTAAGTGAAACAAAAACATGCTTCCCACACTCCTCCCCCACCCTCCACAACTATGAATCCGGCTCTTCTGCTCCATTTTCACCTTCCTCTTGCTTTCTCACATGTGCTCTTTCCACAGTTAACAGGCTCCCTTGCCTCTTCCTGTTGCAAAGCCTACAACCTCATTTTCTGGCTGAAAGAACCTTCCAAGCTCTAGGCTCATTAGCAAAGTAAAGATATCAATGCATGCAGAACTCATTGAATAATCAATCTTTTCTCAGTTCAGTTTACCACCTCTGTTCATCTCCCTAGATCATCCTTAATGCATCATTCCCTCAGGTTTCTCTTCTTCCACACAGGATATTTTTGCACAATCTCACCATTATGGGCTTGCAACATCAAAATTATTTTTTATGCATGATAATGAGCCATTTCCACCAAAAAAAAAAAAAAATCAGTGTCATTCTTTCACATCCCAAGTCTTTGTTTCTAGATGTATTTCTAGAGTTCCTGTGGGTCTAGCTAAGGGAAGGCTAGCATATCCCTGACTTTTCACTAACAGAGCCTTTCTGCACTCAGGTGGAGCGGCTGATCCAGGAGCATGGCTGGGAGTTTATGTGGAATGAGCGTTTGGGATACATCTTGACCTGTCCGTCTAACCTAGGCACTGGACTTCGGGCAGGAGTGCACATCAAACTGCCCCTGCTAAGCAAAGTAAAGGAGTTGTGGAGTTAGAGCGTTGTGAAGGAGGAAGGTGGCTGTGTATGGGTGGGAGGGATTGGGCATTTTGGAAAGGAGCAGACATAGTGTAGCTAAAGAGTCAAGGGGAAGAGCTCTGGGTGGGGTTCAGGGCTTTTTCAGGTCAGACCAGTCTCTGCCTCTGTTGACCCTGCCCCCCAATCTCTATCTCCCCTCTAGGATAGCCGCTTCCCAAAGATCCTAGAGAACCTAAGACTCCAAAAACGTGGAACTGGAGGAGTGGACACAGCTGCCACAGGCAGCATCATTGACATCTCTAATTTGGACCGACTGGGCAAGTCAGAGGTGAGATTCTTAGGGATTCGGGATAGGTCTGTGGGGGTTGAGATGTGACAGGGAGTGAGCCTCAGGAATGTGATAGAATCTGAAATGAAATTCAGGTTGAGTGGGGAGGAAATTGGAAACGAGTTCCCAGAGCAGTCAAATCAGTGCAGAAGAGAGTCAGATTGTGGGAAGCAGAGATCAAGGGTTAGTGTCCTTCAGGTGGAGCTGGTGCAGCTGGTCATCGATGGAGTAAACTATTTGATTGACTGTGAACGGCGTCTGGAGAGAGGCCAGGATATCCGTGTCCCTCCGCCTCTCCCCAACAAGCATTAACTCCCATCCCCAGCAGATGACTCAAGACTCCCAGGACCTCTGCCATTCTAACAGTGGCCAATTCTCCTTATTCTGGATGCCCCTTTTCCCCCCTCACTCCCTCTGTCCTAGTAAAGACTACTGGCTACGCTCCAGTTGTGTTATTTCTAATGGTGGGATAAGGAGGAACTAGCCTCCAGAAGAAAAAAAAGGCAGTGGGATTATTTGTGATGGAAAGAGACTCCAGATATGGCATGCCAGGAACACTGATTCTCAGGTGGGTGGAAAGCATTAGCATTTTACCCATATTCCTCATCAGCTTCCTGAGGATAATTAGATTGCACTTCCATTTGCACTTTATTCATTATTACTTAAAATGTCTTTCCCAACAATCTCCCTCTCTAAGTGCAGAGACAGGCTCATAGCAGGTTGCCAAGGAAGTAGATGGTCAATGCCAGGGCCCAGGAAGGTTGTGACCAGTCCTGGAGACCCCAGGCTGTGCTTCGACCTATAATGAGACAGAGAATGGAAGGAATATCACAGCTCTGCTCCACAGGAGCCACTGATACTTGGAAACTATCTACCTGTAGATCCCTTCACTCCAGGATCTCCCTGGAGGGTTCTGTGAGCCAACCAGTACCAAGTTAGGGCTCAGATTCTGGGTCGGGTTGGTGGGTCAAGCTGTGCAGTTGGGAACTCACCCTGATGTTCTGGGGTCTCCTTCCCCTCATACTGGGCCCATGCAACTGCTCGTCGCTGCTCAGGACTCAGAAAGGCCATTTGCTCAGGAGTGACAGCCACAGCCTGAACACTGGTGAGACTAGATAGCTGGGTGGGGCTGAACACCACCTAGGGGTGGAAGCAAGAATCAGGACATCCACTGTAGCCCTTGTTGGGCCCTGGCTCTCTTGTGGTCACCCCAGACCCCACTCCATCAATACTTACAGCAAATTTCGGAGGAGGGATGACAGAAATGGCCAGAGGGGTAAGGCCCTGGATCTGTCCTCGCAGCAGTGCTGAAAGAGCCAGGTCTGGGATTCCAGCTGTTGAAGCAAGTGGGATGGCCATGCAAACGTTATCTTACACTGGCCTTCTCCAGCTAATCCCAAGGTATCCTTCTCAGGATCCCAAGGTAGACCTTCCCCAACACATCTCCAACCTCTTACCTAAATGCCTTCTCAGGCTCCCACCTTAAGAATTCGAGAGCAGTCCTCTAACCAGTCCGTCCATGGTATGGAAACCAACCCCTGGCAACCAGCAGCAGCAGTGGCCCAGTCTCCCTACCTGCTATTGTACCAATTTCGGTGAAGATCTCAGGCCCCCAGTTACTGACTGGGCCAAAACCACCAGGCAGCACAAGGAGCTGGGCCAGAACCTCCAGCTGCTCCTCAGAACACGGGAGATGCAGGTTGCCCAAGAAGAGAGCTGCTTGGCTGTGGAAGAGTGGGAAGGAAGGGAGGATTCAGCCATGGTGTTAAGGGTCCGTGGTCATGAGTTGATGGTAGAAATGGCTTCAGGTGAGATCCCTTCCTCCATGGGACCACTCCTCCATGATCCTTCCCTCCCCAATGAGCCCACCTTTCCCTCAGCACCACCACCCACACCCTCCTCCACAGGTGACCTAAACTCCCAACTGCTGATATACTGCAGCTCCTCTGGCCGAAGTCCACAGAGCGTGTAACCCAGTGCAGTCAGGTGGAGGAAGTCCAGGTGGCTCACGTGCCGACCACTCTGCTTCAGGAAACTGGAGACCACAACCCGGAGCTGGGGTGGGGGTGGAGGCCACAGGATAAGGAGAGGAGTCATGGGGAAGTCATGGATGGGCAACTGCTTAGGGAAGGGACAAGTGCTACTGGATTTTTTATTATTAAGACCTGAAGATCCGGGCTTCCCTGGTGGCGCAGTGGTTAAGAATCCGCCTGCCAATGCAGGGGACACGGGTTCGAGCCCTGGACCAGGAAGATCCGACATGCCGCGGAGCAACTAAGCCCGTGCGCCACAACTACTGAGCCTGTGCTCTAGAGCCCACATGCCACAACTACTGAGCCCTCGAGCCAAAACTACTGACGCCCGCGTGCTCCGCAACAAGAGAAGCCACCGCAATGAGAAGCCCATGCAATGCAACCAAGAGTAGCTCCCGCTTGCCGCAACCAGAGAAAGCCCACGCACAGCAATGAAGACCCAACGCAGCCAAAAATAAATAAATAAAATAAATAAATTTATTAAAAAAAAAAAAGACCGGAAGATGCAATGGCCATGGGAAAGGTTGAGGATCCAAAAAAGAGAAGGATGGAAAAAAAGAAGGCCAAAGGGAAAGGAGGCAGAAGGAAGTATTATGTGTCCAGGGCCTCAGGGTGAATAAATCACAGAGTTCCTAAGGCTACTGGTATGGGGTATTAGGAAAAGATAGAAAGAATGGCCAGGCAGGATCACAGGAAAGAAATTCCTTGGGCTTTAGATGCCCTAGAGGCCTGTATCTGTGGGATGGGTGTTTGGAAGGTGGTAGAGAGGAGAGAAGATGTTACCTGGATGGAGCTCCAGCCATCTATCTGCCCCAGGGTGCTCAGCACACCCCAGTCCACCAGGCTCAGCTCCTGTAGTTCCCTCTCTCCTAGACCTATTAAGAGCCGACCCAGCTGCAGGATCTGCTCAGGACGGAATCCCCAGGGGGGACCCCACAACTAGAGAAAGAGAGTAAGAGTGTGAATGGAAAAAGCACTGGATTAAGAGTCAGAATGCTGGGTCTTAGTTTTGCCTCTGACCTTAGCTGTGTAACTCTGGGCAAATCACTTGCCTTCTCTGGGTCTTTAGTTTCTTCAACTGTAAAATGAGAGGACTGGATTAAGGTTCCTCTGACTAAGGTGTTATTAAAAGACTCTAGAGTCTCAGTAGTGAAGAATAGCAGACTCTAGTCCATGAGTTCTAAACTCTTATGTGCACCAGACTCTTGGGGTTTGGGGGCAGGCGGTGACTGTTAAGATGCAGATGCCCAGACCCCATCCTCAGAGATTTTTCTTCGGTGAGTCTAGCATGAGATCCTCGAATAAGCATTTAAAAAACCTGCTCCCTAGATGACATTGATACACGCTAAAGTTTGGCAACCACTTCTCTAGTCCCTCTACCCATTTCACTAGCTTCCTTCCCTCTGTTTTCATCCCCTCTGACTTCCTACTCAGGATCCAAACCCTCTAATTCTTTTATCTCCTATGTCCCCCACCCCTCACCCAGCTATCCATTCCCTTGTGTTCCATATCACACCCAACCGGCTTCCTCATGTTATTCCACCTCCAACCCCAACTGGACTCTCCATCACTAACTTGTTTTGCTTTGCCCATCGCTGCCCGTAGTTCCTCAGGCCCAAGTCCTGGGTCTCCTGCAAACAGTGCTAGGCAGTCTTCAAAGTCTAAAAGCTCCATCTCCGCGATCTGGGTTGCAGACCAGGCTGATGGGAATGTTCCCCGTACATCTGCGCAATTTGGCACAGGTTCTAAAGAGGGACAGGGCCAGGGGGTCAGTGTAGTACTAAAGTATGCCCACAGAGATAGCTATAGATGGAATGACCGCCCCCCCCCCAACCTTTGAAGGACAGGCAGTATGGCTCAAGGGATTACTACAGTGTGAGATTTATAGGACTCGATATTAGAACAAGTGACTGGAGAGGACAAGCCCCTCATTGTATAGATGGAAGACCGATGGGGTTGCTCAAGGACTGAATGGCAGATCTAGATTGGAACCCAGGTCCCTAGCCCCACAGTGTCACCTTCCTCCATCCTAAGCGTCTTCCCAGCAGAGAGCTCCACGCTTAATCAAGCCTAGAGCTGAGTCAGCTGTTAACAGGGATAGGCAAGCAGGGAAAGGGGAGTCCTGGGCTAAAAATATAATGAGTTATAAATTCCCAGAGCTATAGAACCCTAGAACTAGAAGAGACCTTGAAGATCATCCCTCACACCTCTGTGCTTTATAGGTTAGAAAACCCCAGCCTAGAGAGAAGTTATACAAATCTGCTTAAAGGGCACAAGTTTGACTGCATTGTTGGATACTCTTTCCTGTACACCATGCTACATGTCTGGGGAGTTTCACCTGGGAGATCCTCTGCGGTGGGCCGCACAACCCCAGCTACCAGGGCTGCTTTCTTGGCAGTGAGCTGTGGCCCTGCACACAGCTGTCCAGCTCTGCTCTGCTCCCAGCTCTGCTGCTTTTCTAGGAGCCGCTCCAGTGTCTCTGGGCCCAAGGCCTCCTGGGTGAGAAGGTAGAAGGAGGGTAGGCAGAGCCGGGCAGGTCAGGGCCAGCTGCTACAGCTGTAATTCCAAAGTCCTCTCTCTTTTTAGCAGTCTCCCCCTGCTAAATTTGGGCTTCACACCCTTTGCCTTCAACTTGCTTGGTCTTAGCTCCCTGGAGCCAGCTCCCCAGTCCCCTCTCTGCTTTTACTCCCTCCCTTGTTCCTTCACCTCACCCTGGGGATCAAGGAAATAGCCTCGGGAGACAGAGTGAATACTAGGCGTCCTGCTTGCTCAACTTCATCCTGGCTCCATAACTCTGGTTTCCTGAGGGACAGAAAGAAGATCAGGGGTTGGGATGCTGAGTGAACTGTGAGGAGAAGGAAGAGGAAAGACATGCTGGGACTGGGGACTCAGGGCTCCAAGGACCTCAAGCATATTGAATGGGCTGCCACTGATGAGGGTGGTTGAGAGGGTGGGTGAAGAATGAGTTAGAATCTGAAGTTCCCGGAGGTCCGTACCCAAGAACAGGCTCCTGCAACAGTAGCCATCCCAGCTCTGTGGCAAATGGCTCTCCTAGGCAGATGCCCTGCAGCTGACTGAGATGGGCCAGCAGGATCTGTAGGGGGATCCGTCGTGTGCTCTCTATCCCCAGGAATCCAACCAAGGGACCCAATGTCTCCAGCACTTCCCTTGACACTGTTGTCTCCTTTGGAGCCTGGAGAGGGGCATCAGGCCTTGGGACAATGCACTGCTGGCTCAAAGGACCAGTCTCTTTAATCAAGACACCAAGACATTTGACCTTGCCTCCCTCCAGCTCCCAACCCAAGACCCTATGAAGTTCATTGTCATTGTTCACTTTTCTAAACAATGAGCCCAAATAGGAGCAGGCAGGAAGACTGGGAGGTGGAATCCAAGGAATTCTTATACTCCAAGGGATATGGACAAGAAACATGAAGCAGACTATCAAGGAATAGAACACAGAGGTAGATCTAGGGGCTAAGGCCTTGTAGACAAAAACCTGTTTGGCAGCAAAAGTTCAGGTCTGGGCCTAGAAGACAGAGAGCATTGTCTGAGTGGTAAGAATGGCCCAGGCTACAGTTCTGAGTCTGATGGTGTGGACTCTTACCAAGTTTTCTAGTGCCCTTTCTGCCAGGGCTGCCCGGTGGAGTGGGGTCAGTGCCAGCAGCTGCTCTGGAGTGCCTCGTACCAGCTCCACCACCAACATAATGGATTCACTGGACAGCCTGTCCATCAACCGGATCCTATAGCAGTTTGACAGTGGGGGGACTCAGAATTGAGCCAAATTGAGAAGGGACCACAGAATGCCACATTGCCCAGACAAGAGGTAACACTAGACCAAACCCTGTGGCCCTGGAAAGGAAGC